AAAATAAGTATTGAAAATGAAATCACTTTGAAATAAAAATGTGAATTTTTAGCTTGAAGAGAACATAACAAATGAAATTTCAGCTGTGTAGAAATAATGACAATTAATTTTTTTAGGTTAGAAATGTGTTCTGAATATATTTAAACACTGAATCAGTAAGTACAAAGATACAACATTTAAATTTCAGTGGCATTTTTAATTCAAATCCCAGCGACACAGATTTACTTCCATACTAACCAGAGGTGGAAAGAGTACTTAAAAATTGTAATTGAGTAAAAGTATCTTTACTTTGCCTAAAGTTTACTTAGAGTAAAAGTAAAATCACCCATCTCAAAATTTACTCAAGTAAAAGTACAAAATTACTTCATTTAAATTGTAATTTGAGTAAAAGTTACTTAGTTACTTTGGGTAATTTAATGCAAAAAAAAAGGATGAGTCATGAATCGAATTGAGCACAAGGTGTTTTAATTGATTTCAGTGGAAATCCACACTTGCAAAAGATCAGCTGGTCTAAAGAACATACTTCCTCACAGCAGAAGGACAGTCACTACCTGAACCATAAAGTGCAAACTATTTTCAACCCTACTGTCCAACAGACAACACCATGATAGGAATAAAGAAATTTAAACCACATTTTAAAGTATTCAAAATGCACACAAAATTAATTGCCCAAAAGATACCAGAATATGTTTCCTCTTCGTTCTTTTCCTCATCCATACTCTCTACATGGTGATTAGCAACTGCCATCTTCCAAAGCGCAGCACTGGATTATGAGACAATGCAAAGGGTAATGGCAAGGCAGCGTTACGCAAGTTTAAATTTCCGGCCACATAAAATGTTTTCACCATCAGTATTTTTTATTTTGTTTTTACTCAGTAATATGACGAGGTTTTAAATGTAGCGAAGTAAAACTACTTAGGTTAAAATTTACTCGATTAAAAGTAAAAATTACATATTTCAAAAACTACTCAGAAAATTACAAATTACTCATAAAAAGTACTAAATTACAGTAACTTGAGTAAATGTAATTCGTTACTTTCCACCCCTGACGCTAACCATGATGTAGCTCTATTTTTAGTGTGATCCATCATTCAGTTCTGGGAGAGACTATTTAGGAGAGAACTGAAGGAGACTATTTTTTTGAGTTCCATTAAAAAACTAAAAAGGAAGTTTCAAGTTTCAATACCAAGTCTCACATTCAATGTCAATAGAAACTGTCACTGATTGAGCTCCAAACATTTGTAGTTCTTACGGTTCCCGAATTCAACAGCTGGGAATCTTTTTTCCAGGCACGTAAACTTAGTCAACATTCCGTACTCCAGGTCGTCTAAGCCACGCCCCCATGCTGAGGGGAAACCAGTTTAAAACACAAAAACAAATCTTGAAGTAAAAAGTTATTTTAAACATTTCTTTTCAGTTAGATTTTTTTCAATTAAAATCCTTTAAATTTAGTTTAAAAAAAATCTTTTTTTTTCTTTTGAGGTTCATTATAATTTTTCAGTTTCAAAAAGAACAGATATTTGCTGTTACCCCCTCCTCTTCCCATGTTTGGATAACGGATTGAGCAGAGCTCTGTGAGGCGGTCAAAGCTCGGGAGGTTTTTTCCAGATCACATCTGCTTGTTCACTAATGTTTTCTAACAACCCTCTGAGGCCAAAAACACAACGTCTGCATCCGTACTGAGGTTGCATTGCACAGGGTTGGACTTTAGCTACACATCAGGTGACTTTGATTGACTATACTAATGTTCACTGTAAAAAATATCTAAAAATGAGTAAAAATGTCTTAAATTAAGTGTATTTTGCCTTCATTTGAGCAGGTAAATGAGATAATCATGCCAATGGAATGAGCATTTTTACTCTTAAAATAAGTGTAAAATGAGATAATTAGATATTATGCACTTGAAATAAGAGACTGCAGTTGTTTTTGTTTCTTATTTTAAATGTAAGTTGCCTTACTCCCTGGGAAGGCGTCCCACTTACCTGAATAATTCAAGAAAAAATGCACTTATTTTAAGAAAAATTGACTCACTTAGATATCATTTTTTTGCAGTGTTGTATTGGTGTATCAGATAAAATCTGAATAAATTATAATAGATTTTATAACTGTAACGTGTGAAAACTAACTCCATTTTCTGTGTGATTTCGGCTGTTCATGCAGCTCAAACACCAATCAGGCTGAAAACAATGCACACAGCTCAGCTGGTTTAGAGGATGGTAATGCATGTATGTGCAGGCCCTCTTTTTTTAACCCACATACAGGATTGTTTTCAGATCGCTTAGCATGCTCACTCTGTTATCTGCACGGATCACCTGATTCCTGTAAACCAGGTCCCAGTTGAACAGGAATGTCCCAGAAGCAGCCATGCTGCATTAAAGTGCAGGTATATATCTGGCAAACCCATGTCTGCGGTAAAGTGATTTGTTTTTTTTTTGGACATAGAGAAATATCAGAAAACCATCCAGTGCTCCTCTGCTGCTGTTGGAGTTCATTCAGTGGCTGCTTTCTGCTCATCCACCAGATGGTTCTGCTTAGGGACTGCTGTGTGCAAGCCACCACTAAATCCAATAAATGAAACCGGTATGCACATTAAGGGTTGCATATTGTGCTAGTTTTATGTTACACGCTATGTTAGGTCATCTGAAGCTGCCTGTCATCTTGCAAAGAGCAGAGCTGTGCAACGAACAGTCGAGTAGAACCAGCTAATGTTTTCACTCTCACTCTGAAAATTGCCTAAAACTACACCCCAGACTTAGGTTATCTTTTTATAGGACAACCTTCAAGCTCGACACTTAGAGATTTCTAGAGAGCAGGTCTCCTCTGGCATAATTATTATTTTAAATACTTCTAAGACACATCCATGACTGTGCTTTCATAGCATCTTCTTCCAGCATCACATAGCAACAAAAAGAAAAGGTTGATGTCTGTACAGGAAAGAAAAAAAAAAGGTTTTATACCAGCAGAGGATTTTGCAAAAGTCAGATTGATTAATATATTTATACATTTAGGTGTTTTGTGCAGCACTTCGGTTAGCATTTAGCTTGTTTTTAAAGTGCTCTAGAAATAAAATGCTTTAACATGAAGACATTTTAATGACTTGAAGAGTTTTAATGTTTATTGAGCCGTTCACTTGATCTAACATACAAGTAGGAGGCTTAGTTGGAGATAACAGTTATGTTAACTCTGAAACTTCAACTGGATCAAAGCAGTCTAAACCCGGATCAGATGCTATGGTTACCTCAGATGCTGCCTCACCTTCTAGAGACAAACCAATCATATTAAGAGGAGTGCTAATGATCTTATTTTTTATCAAATTAATCTTATTTATAAAGAATCCCATAAAATCATTACTGCTAAGAGCAGGTGGAATGGACGGTTCCACAGAGCTATGGCTCTGGGTGAGTTTGGCAACTGGATTAAAAAGATATCAAGGATTTCTCTTATTCTCCTCTATTAATGAGGAGAAATATGCATATGAAATATGCTTTCTTTACAAAGGGTCATCTTATGCAGCAGTGAACTATTTTTCCAGACTAGGAAGGATTCCTGAAGGCATGTTGCTGCAGAGTGCACAGCTCTGCATTAAACCAAGCTTTTTCTTTATCAAAGGGGCTAAATTGTCTAAGGCCCAGAGAACTATTAACCACATTAACATAGTCATTAATTTGTGAAGGGGGATAAATTAAATGGTTGCTCTCTGTAGTATTGTTCAGTAGGGGTGTAAATCACACCCATCATGGCGATTCGATTCAGTACCGATTTCCTGACCCAACGATTCGATTATTTTCGATACTCAAGAATACACCACGATACGATTCGATTAATTGTTTGTTTTGTTTTTTTTACAACTTACAGGCTAGACAAAGTTTAAATTTGAAATAAATCAATGAAAGCTGTAATATTGTTATGCATTTGAGAAACAACAGCAAATAGCAGAAGTAGAAAAGTTGCATCAAAAAATACTGCAAAAATTCTGCACAAAATCAGTGCAATGAGTGCAATGCAATACCTCGGCTCCAGACGTCCCGCCCCCTCCACAGACGCTCCGCTGCTCCTCTCCCAGATTGTAGCTGACCGCAAACAGCGCCGCAGACAGGAGGCCGGCTTGTTTTGTTTTTATGACCGAAATTGCGGAAAACAACTCGTGAAGTTTGACCCGCTAGAAGAACGAGGTGCGCGAGAACGCTGGGACCCTTTTTCCACCTGGATCTCCGCTCTTTTTGGCCCTCATGTCCCTCCGTCGTCGGACTAAACTCGCCCCCACTTCCTCGCCGCCTCGGCCTTATCTAGAACCACAGCGTGTAGCACAGACCACGCTTCAATATTGAGCATAAATCAAAAATGTCTATGTGAAGCTCACTGCAACACACTGCTGTGAGAGTATAACCATGAAGCGAGGTAGGAGGGCAAAATAGGTTTAGCGCCACCGCAGCACGGGAGGAGAATTACGTCCAGGTGCAAATTTAATAAAAATAGATTGGAGGGAAAAAAAAAACACAAATCGATACTCTTGCGGACATATCGATGCATCGGATCGCCGGCTGTTGGATCGATGCATCGATAGAAAACGATTATTATTTACACCCCTATTGTTCAGTGATGAAGAGGAGATAAAAGTGAAACAGATTCTTTAAAATTTATAACTGCACTATCTGAAGATGATCTGCTAAAATGAAATCTTCTTTTCGGGGAGGAGAACTCTGGTAAAGTAATCCTGAAGGTTATTAAAAAGTGGTCAGAGATGACAGGGTTGTGAGGAAATACTGTTATTTCTTCACATTCAGTGACATATGTCAGAACAAGGTACAAAGTATGAAGATGAGAATGCGTGGGACTATTCACATTTTGAACAAAGCCAATAGTGTCTAAGATAGCATTAAAGGCTGCATCAAAGCTATCACCTTAAATGTTAGCATGGATTTTAAAATCTCCCATTATGATGACCCTGTGAGTGTTCAACACCAAATCAGATAGGAATTCTGAAAACTCATCAAAAAATTCAAAGTAAGGACCTGAGGGATGATATAAAGTTACAAAAGGAAGAGGTTTCGTAGCTTAGCAGCGTGTAAAAATAAGATTGAATATATTTTACTGGGAGGTTTGACACTTTGTACATAATATTCATTATCATATATTCATCATAGTTCAGTAAGAAAATATTTTATTAGGGTAATAGTGATCAGAGCACCTATGGAACCTTTTTTGTATATAACTCACCAAAATGTACGGTGGCCCTGAAGTGCAAACTGCAACTACAAATCTAAAAGCGCAACTACATTAAGGAAAACAAAACTACATAA